AAATCAATTAAAATACAATATAAAACAGTCTTAATAAAATCTAAGAATGATGGGAATTGGCAAATAGCTCAGGGAGCGTCATCAGGGAGCTAACCACCCCCAGGGACGATTAGAGCTCTTATCGCCCCATTCCAGCTGGCAGAACCAGGTCTTTAATCCTTTCTGGAAAGCCGGGAGGGTAGGGACCCACCACACCTCTGGGGGGAGAATATTCCAAAGGGTGGGGGCAATGACAGAGAAGGCTCTCCTCCTGGGCCCCGCCAGCCAACATTCTCTCGCTTATGGGGTCTGCAACATGCCCTCTCTGCCTGACTGGGTGGGACGGATTGATATAATGGGGATGAGACAGTCCTTCAGGTAACCTTATGTTTGCACACTGTTGTGCAAATCAAGTTGGACAAATAACTCACATTAGGTGAACAATTTTAGTTGATTTGTGGAGGATTACATGGGACATATGAGAAGACCTGGAGAAACAATGAATTGGACTGTAAAGAAATACAGTAATTCTTCCATGCTTCTGCCCTTTGTGTGGATTAAATTCACCTCTAACCAAAAGTGCTTCTGCTGTTTTTCAAATTAATTTATGAAAACAGCACCACACAACTAGGTAGCAGCATCTAGCTAACCTTTGCTGATTTTGAAAAGCTAAGCAGGGTTGGACCTGGCTAGAGCTGGTTGTGAGACTACCTAAATGTTCCAGGTTTGTAAGATAGACTGGAAGAAAACAAATGCCACTTTGTTGCTGAAGAAACTATATGGATGTGCCCATGAAGTCACCAGGATTTGAGGTTGATCTGAAGGAAACAACTATTATAGAAGCAGGAGATAGGTGTTTTTGATGAGATTATAGCAACAGTTCCTAAAATGTGAAATGCTACAGATGCTTTTTTTTTTTCCCTACAGGTTTGTACCTGTCAGTGATCAAAACAGGAAACTTGTAGCTGCCATAAGAGAAGGTATATGTGCCAAGAGACATGGTGTTAAGCTAATTGTGTTATTGTTTGAATGGGCATGACACTTATTTTGTTTACCTTTGTTATCATTGTGGATCATCACAGATTGTACTTTTTCATTTCTTTGCTGTTTAGCCCACTGGAACAACCCTTTGTCCATGTACTCTTGGGTGTCTATCTGCTACCTGAGCAAAACAGTACAAAACACCATGTGCATTTACTCAATGAAAGCTTGTGCTATTTTATCAAATGTGTTAATCGTCACTACAAGCCTTTCTTGTATTTTCAAAGATAGGGTTAGGGCTCATCCTGATTGTTTGCTTCATTTCATCTTAGACTATTTTTTTTCCCCTTTAGGACAAGTGTATGATCTTCAAAACTATGTGAAAAACAAATATGCTCTGGATGAGGCTGATGAGAGAGGCTGGTTTCCTTTACATGAAGCTGCCATTCAGCCAATTCAGCAAATACTTGAAGTAGTTTTGGATGGTAAGTTGGCACAGGCTTTGAAGTTGGAATCAGTTGAAGAACCCAGTGCTGGTCATCTATATGATCATGTGTAGAGAGTTGTATCCAGTCAGCATTCATCTAGATTACTGAATGAATTCAAAGTTGTTTCCAGAAGGTGCACAAAGAAGCCTATTTAAGTTGAGTTCCACTTCTGGTGAGTTCATGGATACATCTATGTACTTTCATTGACAAGAGGGTTGGTTAGGTGTTATCATCTAATTATATTAAACCAGTTTAGATATTGGTAAAAGCAAATATTCAATGTAAGTGTGTTCTCATGAGATTTTGGCTAAGAATGACCTAGTGTTAAAAATTTGTAAAGCAATTGTATGTATTTAACAAATGCAGCATTGATAAACTTAATTTATGTTTAATTAAACCTAGCATCTTATAAAAGTATGTGGGAATATAAGACATGTGATGGAGAGACACCATTAACTTTGGCAGCCAAATCTGGCCATGCGAAAAATATCAGGACCTTATTGGCAAAGGGAGTTTGGCCAAATACCATGAACAGAAAAGGAGAAACACCTCTTCTGATTGGTAATTACTTTTATTAATGGCTTTGGGGATTTTAGCTTGTTGCCAGAGCTTGTAGAATCAGAGGCTGAACATTGTAGAACCTGAACATTGATTATGCAAACCTTTAATCACATGAGTCATTACTGTTCAGCTCATTAAGCTCTATTACACATAGCCTGCTTTTATAACTTTGCTTACATGTACACAGCTGATTGCATGACATGTGGTAAGATCTTTAATATGCCACTTCCTTGGTTCTCTTTGTACATGAGATCCCCCCCCCCATTGATTGCCAGAAGGGGTACACACAATTTCATGTCATTCTTGTGCTTGTGGTATATTCTCTTGAGCACCACCCTCCTTTTCCCTTTTGTGTTTATAGTATAGCTCCAGGGGAACCCCTAAACACATGTAGAAGATATGCTAAGAAAAGACAAAAAGGGGAAAGTACATTTGAGATGATTTCTACACTGGATAGGTAGAAATGTAGCAGAGTTCATTGTCAGTTATTCAATTATGTTTCATTTTCTTTTACTTTCTGATTATTCTTCTTGGTCCCTGCATTGATTAAAGAATTCCTGCACTAAAACCCATGCAGGAATTAAAAAAAAAAGTTTGTAGCATCACTTGAAGTCCCTTCAGTTTCTGTGATACAAGAATGATTATTTGTCTGCCACCAATTCCTGAAGGGTCTTTTAATTCCTCTTTCTTATTTGTAACTACAGTGAAACTTTGATTTAGCAGACCTTGATGTGTTATGACATTAGCATAGATGCCATCCTTTTCAGTTGAATAGCCAGTAGAGAATAGCAGAACCCCAGAACCCCTGCTCCCAATGGCTTATTAAGATGAATGTTCACTGTTCATTCTTCAACAAATAAAGTAGAGGAAATATCCTTCATTCTAAAATATTCCTTAATTATTACCAAAATCAAATTCTGTGGAAATCTGAAAATCATGTTGAATTTGATTTGCGTCACAAACTAAGCTAAAGTTATCATGTATTCTTATTCAGTGACAACAAAACAAGATTTTACTACAGAGATTACAGTGGGTTATTTTGAAATATATGACATCTAAACATTTCCCCTCTCTTTTCTTTGTCATAATCCTTAAGCGGTAAGACAGAGCTCACATGAAATGGTTTCCACTCTGATTGAATACAATTGTATCGTCAATCAGCCATGTGTAAAACGATGGTCAGCAATGCACGAAGCTGCAAAACAGGGCCGCAGTGATATTGTTGCCCTTCTTTTGAAGAATGGTGGAAATGTACATCTGAAAGATGGATATGGAGTAACACCTTTAGGTGTGGCTGCTGAATATGGCCACTGTGATATACTGGAGCATCTAATTCATAAAGGTGTGTTAACAACAATATTTGTACTGCAAGAGGTATGATCTTTGGCTGTAACAAGGGTTGAACAGTTCCTTGCTGCCTTCAAAGCATTTATGAACATCTTACTTATAATCTATAATTCAAAATACATGTTGGCTGCGTAGCTCAGATTTACTTAAATCCATTTCTTTTCTATTTGTTGGAAAGCTGCAATGCTATTGAAGGGATCAATAACAGATTATATGGATTTTATGTTCACACAGGCAAGGCCTACTAAAGTTTGCTTTTCATATCTATCAAGGTCACCATGAGAACAGTGTACTTACAAACATCAGATCATGAATAGACTGGAACGAACAGGGAAGGGGATTATTTTCTGAACTGTAATTCCCATCTTTCTTCCCCATTGGTTAAGTGAGAATTATAATTCAATAACATATGAATAGTTGTATATTTCCCACCTCAATATTAACTACCATGAAGCCATTGAATTTAGTACATAGGGTTGTGGCATAGATTTACTAGTACCATTTGTAAGTATTGCCTTGTTAATGTGAGCAGATTTAGTGAGTAGGCACTTCTCTTTCTCAGTATGGCTGTAGCGATTTCTAAAATATGTCAGAGTGGGAAAACCAAGAGAAAAATGCTTGGGCAGTCTGGGACTTGGAGAATAAGCAGTTGATTACAGCATGATGATTACACCGATTTCAAAAGCTGTGGTGAATAAATAAATATGGAGATATGTGGGCTTGTAACAGGTCTACCTTCTCTTGCACCACTAGGTGGTGATGTTAACGCTACAGCTGATGATGGCTCGTCAATACTCTTTGAAGCAGCTGGTGGTGGCAATCCAGACTGTATAGCTTTGCTGTTGGAGTATGGGGGAAGTGGCAATTTGCCTAATAAGGCAGGACATCTTCCAATACACAGAGCAGCAAATGAAGGACACTATCTGTGAGTGTGTTTTTTTAAAATATGTATCTCTGAGTCCAACAGCTTTATATTATGAACGATGATGATTTTGTTATTTGTGCATACTATAAATGCGTATAAGGTAGCATAAGCAAAAGAAAAGTGGGCTTTCTGGGAGGTGCCTTCTGAGCCACTGAGGCTGCATTTCTATACAGTCTTTCCTAAGAATGCATCCCACTGAATCCTCCTGTGGTTTTTGAAGAAATAAATAGGATTGTACTTTTCAGGGCCAAACTGTAGAGCACGTGGACTTCAGATGGTCAGGAATATCATACGCACTTGCATCTTTTGGTATCTTCCAGTGATGGTTCTTCTTAAATTGCCCTCCCATTTCAATAAAGCAATACAATGAAGATTTGTGGTTGATGTGGTATGTTGGGGCAGAGGATTACTAAGCCTTGGAATCCACTGGGGCACAGTCTTTCCAGGCATGTCCTTTGCCCAACCTTCCTTTGCCTTAGTGGTAGAGGAGGGCTCTGATATAGGGGTTACTGCTCTAAAATTAGAGCCTTCTTTTTTTTTCTGGAGGTGGAAATCTGATGAACCTAATAGCTCCTACAATTGCAGACTTATTAATTTGTTTTGTTTTATATTTATTTACCAGATTGTCCTACCCAGGTTATATACAGCAATATATTCACATTGTGTTATATTGTTGCAACCTTGCAAGAGTAACTCGCTTTTATTGCTGAGACTACCCATTTGTAACTCTATAGTTGGTCATAACTGTCAGATGAAATATAACTGATGCA